TGAAGGCAACAGGAAACAGTTGGATGATGTTCAGGGTGAACGTGTGGATATTTGCTTGGTAGACACTCTTTCCAATATGTGTAATTAAAAAAAAAAATCACTTTGGCTGTGGTGAAGAGAACTGATTGAAAAGAGAAAATGTGAATTGATACTCCAGGGAGGAAGCGTCTACGTACTGTTATTTCCTCTGTGTGCACACGTTCCCTCTTCTTTAGTCGTTATGAAGAGTAGTCTAAATGTCGATCTATTGAAAATGGCAAAAACTCCAGCTCCAGCTAACTTTGGGAGGAAGACCGTGTATCGGCTTACCTGACCAAAAAGTCTAAGGGCTGTGCTACTCTCGTCCCGTGTGACTGGATTCAGTGTTAGAATGGGTGATATTGGAGCTCAGTTTCTCCTCTACTCAGAACTTAGATTTGCTTTCTCTGTGCTGACTTTATTCCTTAGCTATACACCCTCTCGGGTCTGTGTTCAGTTGGAAAATGATCTACTTATGCAGCTTCTTTAAGTATCTAGAAATTACTGTGTGTAGACCAGCTTAAATCATATGCCTGGCAATGAAAACAGACTTCCATGACCAGTGGGATGAGATGATGCTGGGGGTTTATTCATCCTGGTGTTTGTAAGATTACAGGGACTGATAGGAACTCGTCTCCACATGCCAAAAGGAGATTTTGATTTTGTGGGACGAGCAGCAGATGTTTTCAAGACACATCCATGAGGGGAGACAGCGGACCGTGTGAGATATGGCATAATAATAACAGTATATAATTGATCAAGGATTCACGAGCGTAGGGGGGAGGGAAGGAGAGGAAAGCGGAGGAGGAGTTTGTAGCAAGGGCTCATGTAGAGAGTGCTTTAGAAATGATGGCACATATGTTCAAATATGCTTGATAAAATTGATGTATGGAATGCTATAAGAACTGTAAGAGACCACAATAAAATGATTTAAAAAGAAAAGCACAAAATTGGAAGATTAAAAAAAAATAAGACATCCATTTGTGTTATATTTTAGAATATAAACTAATCAGTTATGTTAGCTATTGCTCTTTATATTTTATTGTCTAGTTTAAATTTTTCTCTACTTAACATAGTCATCTTAACAATAATTCTTTGTTTCTTCAGCAGACCCTTTTAATTGTTATTGAAGTAATTAGAATGCTGTTCTTTATAAGTTTATAAGTCTGATATATTGCCTATGTACATATAACTCTTATCCACTTGAAAACTTCCTGGATTGTGGGAGAAAATTTTCTCTGTTGACAGATTTTACTCTTGTTATTGACTAGATCCTAATGTTTGCATGTTGCTTTCTAGCTAATGAGTCTTTTCCCATTTATTCTTGAATTTAATTCTAGCTTAATTACAGTAATCTGGAGTAAATATAATTACACTGGCCCAATAAGTAACATCATGATAAATGAAGAAAAAAATGAAGTTGTTAAGGATTTCATTTTACTTGAATACACAATCCATACTCATGAAAGCTCAGATCAAGCAACATATTGCAATCTGCAGAAGGCCTCTTTCAAGTGTTGAAGAACGCGGGTGGGGTTTCTAGGCAGAAGGTGTACCTGGCCCAAGCCATGGTATTTTCAGTCACCTCCTGTGAAAGCTGGACACTGCAGCGGCAAGAATGCAGAAGAATGGGTGCGTTTGAATGGACTGAACAAATCCATACTGGAAGAAGTACAACCAGAATGTACAGAAGTACAACTAGAATTGAGAATGGCAAGGCTTTGTCTCCATGTCACCAAAGAGCCCTCCCTGTAAAAGGACACGGTGCTGGGTAAAACACAGGGTCAGTGAAGGAGAGGAACGTCTCTTTTGCGATGGATTGACCCAGTGGCTGCAGCAGTGGCTCGAGTGTGAGGACAGCACGAGACTGGGCAGTGTTGCATTTAGTTTTACCTCTGCTCAGTGTGCATTGGGAACAACCTTTTCCAGTGACAGATTGGGAGCATGCAACAGGGCTCTCTGCTAAATTCAGTCGTCTTCCAGCTATGTTGCAGTTGCTTTCCTTACAGTCATTCAACAGTATAATGTTAATTTATGGCATGTCAAATCAATACAAAAGGTGGAGAATATATGCATAAGCAAGAAAGGGGACATAAAGACAGTGACAGAGAAACTGAAAACATTGTAAGTCCATATTACATCCAAATATGTCAGGGAAAATTTCGAAAAGCATAATTGTATGAAAAAAAATTTAATTGCTAAGATGACTCAAAGTGGTTGTAAAACTTGAGCCAACCAGTTATAACCATGGAAGAAATAAAAGTAATCCCTTCAATTAGAGAGTTGTCAGGCCCAGAGGATTTAATGCATCAGATCTACACAACTTTCAAGAAGCTGCTAATTTTCATGACACGAAAAGATATCAGGGTACAGTAAATAATGGGCCATTTCCCGTCTTATTTTTGAGGCCAACATTCCTTGAAACACACTAAAAATAGAATGCTTCCCTCCCCCCGTGGCTCAGCACACACACACACATGTTAGCATCTCCATGACTGGAACGGGACAGGGAGCCTGGTAGCTGGAGAGGGCATTGAGAGTCAAAAAGAAATTTGGAAATGTTCATGGTTTTCTTGTGACATCTATATTTATAGTATTATTTATAATATCTGGGTCTGATATTCAATTTCCAATGGTTATATTTGTAAGATTTTCATGTCTTGTCTCTTTTATAAAAATGAGATTTTCACTTCATAGTATTTTCCTAAATAATTTAAACTATTTAAGACTATATTGATTCAATTCATAAGTCTAATAAAATAAATTTTATATAAAAACACATAGATCATGACTTATTTTTGTACATAATACATTTAGCAGCCTGACCTGAATCAATCATTCCTATAAATAATAAGAACACTGGACTCACATGGAATACAAGGAACTTAGTTTTTTAAAGTAATTTAAAATGTCTTTTTTATTTTTACAAAACCAACTTTTAAATCTGATATAACTATTAACTTGCTTTGGTTCTTTTTATAGATACTTATCATTAGCCGTTAGGTGCCATCAAGTCAGCTCCAACTCGTCGTCACCCTCTCTCTGCACAACAAGAAAACAGTGCCCAATCCTGAGCCATTTCACAGGCATCATATGCGAGTCCATCGCTGCAGCCCAGGGCCGTGCCATCTCTGGAGAGTCGTCTTCTATTTTACTGGCCCTCTACTTCACCGAGCATGGTGGCCCTTCTCCAGGGCCCGGTCCTTCCTGATTTCATGTCCAAAGATCCTGAGACTAAGCATTGCCATCCTCCTTACTAAGCAGCATTTTGGCTGTACTTCTTCCAAGACAGATTTTGTGTTGTAGTTGTTGTTGGCACTCCATGGTATTTTCAGTATTCTTCACCAGCAGTCATTCAAATGCAACAATTCTTCTCTGGTCGTCTTACTCTTTGTCTAACCTTTACATGCAGTGAGACGATTAAAAATAATTATATGACTTGGGCCAAGCAAACCATAATCCTTAAAGTGACTTGATATTTGGCACTTTAATCTTCAGGGGCAGATTTGCCCAGTACTATATATCATTGACGTTTTGGCTTCTGCTTCAGTGAATGTTGATCCAAATTAAACAAAATTCTTGACAGCGTCAGTATTTTCTGTTTATGGTGGTTTTGGTTATTGGTCGAGTTGCGAGAATTTTTGCTTCCTTTGTGCTGAGGTGTAAGCCATACTGAAAGCTGTAGTCTTTGCTTTTCATTATTAAGTGTGTCAGTCCTTCTGAGCTTTCAGCTTGCCCATTGCAGGCTGTTAGTGGCTGCAATTAAGGCTTGCCCTATTGTTCATATAGTTCAGCTTGTTGGATTACTTAGCTAGCATACAGATTGAAGACATGCGTTGTAAGAATGCAGCCCTAATACATATCTTTCCTGATTTTAGACCACACAGTATCTTCTTGTTCGAAAGTCTTCCTTTTGGTCTATGTACTAGTTCTATGTACTACTATGTACAATTAAGTAAGTGTTCTGGAATTCCCATTCTGCACACTGTTATCCACAATTTGTTACAGTTCACACAGTTGAATGCTTACCGTTGTCAGTAACTTGGACTTTGTTTTAATGCCATGGGTTCTTGGTCATATGCTACAGATCAACCTCTTTCTGATAGTCTTTACTTTCAGGCAAGATTCATGTGATTACAGTCATAATATTCCTTTACAATCTAGTCTGACCCTATCTTAAATTTCTGGTAGTTTCCTTTTGATGTACTGCTATAACTGCTTTTGTATTTTCTTCAACAAAGTTTTACTTGTACCTAATATTAATGATACTATTCAATAATTTCCACATTCTGTTGGAACACACTTTGGAATGAGCACAGATAAGAATTGCCTCCAATTGGTTATCCAGTCGTTGTCTTCCAAATCTCTTGGCATAGAAGAGTGAGTTCTTCCAGCATTGCATTATTTGTTGGATCTTTACAATTGGTATTCTGTCAATTCCCAGAACACCGTCTGCATCAGCATCTCCCACGCAACCTGGACTTCCTCATTTGGTCCCGTGGGTTCTTGGTCACATGCTACACCCTGAAGAGCTGGGAGTCCTCTGTATTAGATCAGGAGGTGGAGGTATATCCTGGTCCTTCAATGTTTGTCATGATAATTTTTAAAATCCAATGCTTTCTGTCTAATCAGTTCTGAATCTTAATGACCCTTAAAGACAGCGTGGAGCTGCTCCATGGGTTTCTTGGCTATAAGTCTTTGTGGAAACAAACATTTCTCCTTTTTACCAGCTGGTAAATTTGCACAGCTGACCTCTCAGTTGTTAGATATACTGCACCACTTCATAAACATGGAGACTTAAAAAGAAAAAAGAAGAAGATTACAGCTGTAGTGATTGAGTACTTTTTCCAAATTCATCAAGAAAAAAAAAACCCTTAAGGAAAACTAAGAATAAATAAAAAGCTAAGGAGGCAAATGTGACTGTTTTGCTGGTCTGTTACTGTTACAGTGGGCTCTGTTAAAAGCACTTTCTTTACTTGCAGGTTGGCCGTCTGCAGGACTTGGTAAGGCAAAGTGAACAAGGTCTTGGCTCTGCAGAAGGACTCATTGTTAGTCTTCAGGACTCTCAGGAAAGGCTTCAAAATGAACTTGACCTGACTAAAGGCAGTCTAAAGGAGACCAAAGATGCTTTATTAAATATTGAGGTAATCATATGTATAATCCTACTTCTAATATAAACATCATTAAAGTAAATATATAACTGCTTTGCTTAAAGTTTATTATAAACATCACATTTCATGAAGGAGTTTCAAATAGTTGTGGGAAAATAGAACTAGAAGATAATGAATTTTTTTAATGGAAACTTTTGAAGCCCCTTCTTAATAGTCATAGGAATGTTCCTTTGTAGGTAAAAGTTGGGGTGCTCATGTTTAACAACTAAGTAATTCGCTATGATCTACAGATTTCAGAAAGATCCTGCCTTTCCTTTCCATTTTGAAGTAGAGCAGAATTTAGACTGTATTACCCAGTGGAGAAATGAATCTGGAAAACTAATACATAGCAGCTAAGGAGTTTGCAGGGAAAGCAACTGAAGGTGAGAAGTTGGATTCTTACCTTCGGAACATGATTTCAAGTGTGGGTTCTGAAGTCAGGTTGCTTTGGTGTGAATTCTGAGTCCATAACTGAGCATGTAATGTGGGGCAAGTCATTTAGCTTTTCTAAGCCTTTATTTCCTGACCTACAGAATGTGGGGTGGAGGGCTAGAGAATATAATTTTGTATAGTTATTGCAATCACTGAGTGAGATAAATCAAAATAATAAGCATTCAATAAATGTTGCCATTTATTAGTATTTCAGATTTTATTTTCTAAGCTTAGAACTGGCATTTCAAAAACATGCAAGTCTGAGTACTTTAGTCAATGTACCTTGTAGACAGTATATATATCAAACTATTTGTATTTTTAAATTGTAAAATATAAGATATAATATGCTTTGTTCACTGAATGCTTACTTTTATTCTGTAATTCTATGACAAAATAGGCACATTATTTTATCTTACGTAAATCTCATTTTTTGTTGTTTTGTTTGTTTTGTTTTACTTCTTTTTAGTGACTGCCCTATGTCTTAAGAGTAGATTGGAATTAGATCTGGTCTTATACAAGTTGCTGTCCATTCTACTTATGTGCTGCCCAAAGTATCGAGCATGTCCTCAGTGGTAGCACTCTCGTACCTAGAGCTAGCTGAACTGCATGACAGAATTGTATGAAGAGGTGTTTTTCCTCAGGGTTAAAAATAACAGGAAGGTGATGGGTATATATTTTATGATCACAAAATATCTGTATAAGTTAAAAGCCCTAGAAGGCTGTCTAGTGAGTGTTAGCTGAATCTAAGCCGCATTTTAGGATGCTATGATGTTCTGGGTCACTCACCTTGCTGTTTACCTAGTCCCCGTCTTCAGGGCAGTTTCCACGGGTTGCCTCCCTGCCCCACTGAAAGTTAGGGCTATGGAGTCAGTTTTCTTTCTGGAAGGGCTTACCTCATATTTACATTGTCCTAGCAATAATTGACAATAAGGAAAATGTTAAGTAACATTTTGAGTACAAAAATATGACTGTACATAGTTTATTAAATTCATGTAAGCTTCTTAAGAGCAAATGCTTTTCTTTTACCCTTCCTCCCCTCCCCACGGAGTGTCTAGTAAAATGCTTTGCATTCAGTAAGAGAAATAATTTTTAATAATAAACGAATTATGCTACATTTAATGCTATCTTTGGTGGATCAGACACTTCCTAGCAATAGAGTAACAGTGAAATAACAGTTAACTAAATGCCTGAATTTAGTTTTCAGTACTACTGCTTAGTAGCCATCCAGGCAGTTTTAACATCGGCTGGTTGTTTTCTCATCGATTTAGATAGAAACGCGCCCCCCCCCCCCAGACTATTAGTTGGTGAGTGATCAGAAAGGGTGGCTGTGGTCATAGGAGGACAGATGATGGACTGATCTGATTTTCTATTCCTCTTGCGCCTTGTGCTCCTAGAGCAGCTACACTGCTGGCATGGATTCATGGCTGCTACTCTTGTCCAAATAGGTCACCTCCAACCCCAGGCACCAGAGAGCCACTTGATTTATGCTCATCTACAGAGATTTCATGCCTATCATATCACATCATATTATTAGAGCACTATATACATGGAGCTCTAGATTGATATTACATGATAAGAATGCTAGGCTTAATTCTGGGTAATTATTTTCATTTTTGTCACAGAGATATAGTTCTTCAGCTTTATTGGAAGTAGAATAATTCCAGCAAAGTAGATAGCAACCCATTTTAAAAATAGCATACTTTTGAAAATTACTTTGAATAACAGCTATCTAAGCAGTGTGTGTATACTAGTATATTAAGATAATTTGATCATTATTACTAGATACCTAGGATACAGGTTTTATTAAGCTGACTTCGTATGCTGCTTTTGAACTATTTAAATTTTTTTTTAATTGTAAATAATAAAATATATTTGGGTTAAAGACATTTCCAATACATAAAAAGGCTTATGTATTTTACTGTCAGAAAATCTTGAGTAACGTATCATGGACAGTGTTATCAATTATTATGCAGTGATAATTTAAAAGATACAATGTAGGCATTCCCCTTACTTGAAATACCCTTTGGGTTTTATTTTCCAGCTTTGGTAAAATACATGTAACGTGGAATTTTCCATTTCAGTCATTTTCAGGTGTTCACCTCAGTGCCGTTGACCACGTTTCCTAATGTTGTACAACCATCATCGGTAGTTCTCGGACTTTTTCAACACCCACACCAGAACTCTGTGCCCATGCACTAGTCGCCTCCATTCCTAGTCCCTGGTAGCCTCCGCTCCACTTTCTGTCTGCAAATTCGCTTTCACTGAGAAGTCTCTCTTCTTCAGGGAGAACTGGAACAAGAAAGGCAGCAGCATGAAGACACGCTTTCGGCCATGAAGGAGGAAGAGAAGCTCAGAGTGGACAAAATGGCCCACGGCTTAGAAATAAAATGGACCGAAAATCTTAGGTGCACTATTTTCTCTGTAATGTAGTCTTATCAATACAGATGTGCAAAAAATGCTTTCTGTTATGTGGATAATAGTATAATTTGAAAGACAGCAGCACCATTTAAAATGAATTTTTGTGGTGACTAGACTCAGAGAAATTAATTATTTTTTACTTAAAGACAAATTTACTTTTTTCTGATTCATTTCTTTTTATATAAGTAGGCAGAGTCAGAAGACTTGTCTGTTCTACTCTCTGTTCTCCCTTTGAGAAATCAATGATCTTGGGTAAATTACCAACTTATTTTATAGTCTTTACAAAATAATCTAGTCTTATTCTCTCTTGCTGAATTTTAGGGAGGATTATGTAAGCACATTGAAAACTTGCAAACAACTATACTACAGTTATTGTGCAGAATAGTTACATTTACAAAGTAGATGCTTACATCCATGTATGTGGGATTGTTTTAGACAAGAGTGTTCTAAACTTCGTGAAGAGTTAAGACTTCAACATGAAGAGGATAAGAAATCAGCAATGTCTCAACTTTTGCAATTAAAAGAGCGAGAGAAAAATGCAGCCAGGGATTCATGGCAGAGAAAAGTAGAAGATCTCTTAAACCAGGTAATTAATAGTTTGTACACTATAAAGGCTCATTTTCTGGCTGGGGATATATCTTAAAACACTGTGTTTTTTATATTTTAATTAGGAAACCTTAAAATTAAAAAGTCAAATGGGACAATAAGCTCATGAAACATTATGCCAAGCAATCGTGTTAAATATTCTGTCCCAAGTGCCAAGGAGAATTTATAGTCACTTCAGTTTAATATTTTAACTGAACACTACAGAGATTTTAAACAGGAAACTGAGCTATTTTCTAGAAGCACAAAATCCTTTTTCAGGCCATTTTCGATACCATTTGTGCAAATAAACATAACTGATTGCCTTAAACCATTGACCCAAAGTGCGCGGTTTCCTTTGTTCTTAACAGGTTATTGCCTGTTAGGCTTCAACGTTCTTTCAGCCCCTTGGAGAGATTGACATTAATGAAGGGTGGTGACTTTGCTCGGTCCGTCTCCTGATGCCATGCCCCTTATTGCCTGAACATTGACCATAGCTACAATTTAAAGAGTTTGCATATTTTCACTCATTACACCTCTCCTAGATGTAAGGATTCTTACCATTCTTCAGAAAAGCCAGTAATTAGATAGAACTGCCTGCATGAGTCATCAGTTGATAGACAAGGGTGGCACTTGGACAAGCAGCAGGTCTGTAATTTAGTGCTGGAAATCCACTATTATCTTTCTATTTGTGATCGTGAAGAATTCCAAATACACAGGAAAGGCGTTTTGTGAGACATATTATTACATAAACAGATCATACATGCATTGGCTTTCAGGAACGCTTGGGACCGGCGTCTGGGTATTTCATCGTGATTTTCTATGTAACACTGAATAGGGAAAGTTTTGTAAATGAATGTTAAGCTTTGGGACTCAGACATAAAAATAAGAATGAGGAAACAGCTCTTCCTAATCACTGCTTACTAGTTACCTTCTAGTCACTGTTTTCTAGTCCTACTTGTGTTGCAGGTTCTAATAAATGACAGCCACTGTATAATGTCTTGATAATTTAGAAGAGTCTTTATTCTGTTACAACCGGACTGATAGAATCTAAAAGTGATTCTTTGATTGCAGTCCTGAGGCAACATTTCAGTTCATCTTTTAAGGCAAAAAAACTCATTTATCCTTTGTCTGAGACTTAAGCAAACATGGACAGAAGCAGAAACAAAATTAATGTTACTGTTCTTATAGGGTTAGGGAGCGTTACAGGGTACAGCATTGAGTATACCATTCTGGTAGATTCGAGAAGAGCAAGCATGCGTTCCCAGGTACATTCCGTATCATAAAAGAAAGGGTGCAGTGTAGCACTGATGAATCATACAGCTTTCCTCAAGTTCTTTAATGCTCCCTCCCCTGCACTATAATGCTCCCAATTCTACCTTACAAATCCGGCTAGACCAGAGGATGTACACTGGGACAGATAGGAACTGGAAACACAGGAAATCCAGGACAGATGAAACCTTCAGGACCAGTGGTGAGAGTAGGTGGAGGAAAGGCGGGGTAAAAAGGGGGAACCGATCACAAGATCTAAATATAACCCCCCTCCCTGGGGGATGGACAACCCAAAAGTGGGTGAAGGGAGGCGTCTGACAGTGTAAGACATGAAATAATAATTTATAAATTATCAAGAGTTCGTGAGGGAGGGGCAGCGGGCAGGGAGGGAAAAAAATGAGCTGATACCAAGGGTACAGTTTTGAGAATGATGTTGGCAACAAATATACAAATGTGCTTGACACAATAGATGTATGTATTGATTATGATTAGAGTTGTACGAGCCCACAATAAAATTATTTTTAAAAAAAGAAACAATACCAAAATTGACTATAACATCCTGCTTACCATAACAAGATTAACTACACCATTCAGTTTACAACATCAAAATGAACAAAACAAATGTTATATTGAAGAATACTCTAAGATAAATATAGTGTCTTGAACCTGGGAACATGAGAATACATTTCTAAAATCAATCACTAGTGGGCCTTTCCGAGATGGGAGGGGGAAGGAGGCAGGTCATTTAGCAGCTAAAAATTGGGAGTTTCTTTTGCTAGTCTGCCTCGCTTGGAGACCCAGGACAGATTTCACTACATAGAGCAGTACTTTGGTTACCCTCTCTTGTAGTATGATCTGTACCTGGGGAGATTTAATCCAGCGAAATATTAAACATTTAAGAATTGATCTTAGTAATGAAAGCTGAAGAATTAATTTAATTTTATGATAAAAATGAAAAAGCATCAATCTACATTGTTCTGCAACCAGCAAGTGTTAGGTAACACAGACCTTTTGTTGGCGGGTTTTGGCAATGTAAACAAGGTCCGTCACTTGTCCCACCTGTTTCTGTTGTTATTTCATTCGTTATTTTATTTATTTTCCCTTGTATTAAGTTGTCCGCTTCACGCTTCTCTGATGCTATTTCTGACGCTTGATGCTTCTTTGTGTAAAATTCACCCCCAGGGGGACATACTGTTTTGTATCTGTGGCTATATAGGTCACAAAAGACTTCATTATGCGTTCGCTCCAACTCTTGTCAGCTAGAGAGAGAGTTCTTCTTTTTAAGCAGGCTTCCAAGGAAGACTAATCATTTAACCAGAGGCTGTGAAGTTGACTTTAATGCATCGCGATCCCTCTGCGTCAGAGTAAAACAGAACTGTTTTAATGGCTCTTTGGCTTTTGATTTTGTTGTTGTTTCCTGAAGTAGAATGCCAGCCCTTTTTTCCAAAGTGTCTCAGGATAGACTTGAACTACCAGGCTTTGGCTTAGTAAATGAGCATGTTATCCGTTTGTACCACTTTGTACTAATCATAAGCATCAAGATGATCTAACCAGGTATCAGTTGGCTCCAAAAGTAAAACTACTTGGGAGATACCTTCAAGATAAGAGTAATTTTCTTTTTTCCCACCTCTAAAAAGAATCAAATGGACTGGTCATGCACATTGCCGTAGATAAGCTGGCAACTCGCTGTTGCACTTCAGGATTGCCTTTGTCTTGACGAAGAAAATGAACAGAAGGTTACTCATCAAAGTCACGTGGAAATGATGTTCTCACAGTGTTTCTCTTTGCTGACTTGAAAGCTGTCACAAAGCAGAACTTTGCTGCTGCTGTTAGTTGCTGTCCATTCTGCTCCGACTGCTGGTGACCCCAGTGCTTAGGGTAATGAGACACCGCCTGATCTGCACCGTCTTGGTGATGTGCGGGTCCATTATTCCACCCGCTATGTCACTTGCCTCACTGAGAGTTTCCTTTACCTTCATTGGCCTTCTACTTTACCAAACATGGTACTCTCCTTCAACGGTCAGTCTCTTGTAGTGATCCATGAAAAGGAAGCGAATCCAAGTCTTTTTTACTATGTTATGGTTTGCAGCTCTACTGAGACCAGCCCTTCATAGATAATCCTGGTGGCATTCGAACTATTAGCAGTATAACTTCCAGCAAGCCACCACAGTACAACACACTGACAGACAGATGGCAGAACCAGTGGTCTTTTAAAGTGGAACTTCCTTCTGAACACAGGCCTCCATTCTGGCCCCTTTGGGTCTTATCCTCTTGATGCTATAGGATGGGTTCTTGGAAACTGTGCTCTGAAGCTTACTCTGCCTCTTCTACTTGGCTGACCTTGCCATTCTTCTTGAGAGCTCTACCCTCAGCTCAAACCCCCGCAGCCATTGTATTCGACTCACTGCTTTCGGCAGTCATCAGCCCCTTGAGCTCTCGCATGGCCGGCACCCCTCAGTCCAGAGGGAAGATAGGCCTGACTTGGGCTCAGTGTTCCTGAAGGAGTCGGGGGTGAATCCTCCTGGAACAGCTACAGCTCAGGCAAAACACACGCTTGAAAAGTATGAAGATCTATATTTTCACATATTTCACATAACAGAAGTTTTATATTTTCACATATTTTGACTATTTCTAAATGAACAGCATACTTTCTTACCTCAGCTTACTGGTATTTAATCTTACATAAAACAAGGAAATAAAATAATTTGTCTTTCAGGTGAATTTAAATTCTCAAAGTAACCTTTGACTCAACCAATTCTTAAGGCTTGTTTATCTAAAAATGGGTAGATAAAACATTTTCACTCTTTGAGTAAGATGTTTTTCACTTCATGAAATGAAAAGAAAGTAACTTATTTTCTTTCTGTGCTGTGAGTTATTTCAGAGTCAGTTTCCTATATTTTTGTTTCTCTTGTACTATTTTATTGTATTATTTTTTTCTGTATCATATTTCTACTTTAATCCAAAGTTAATTATTATTTCTAGGCTAACCAGTGTGTTCATTTAAATTACTGTAAAAAAATGAACTACATCCTTTATCTTTAGTTCTAGCTATAAAAAAAATGAGACTTTAAAGTCCTCTGTGATGATATTTTCTGTTTGTAAATTCCATTGTATAGTCTTGTATTTTGTTTTGTTATCAGGGCATATTTTATTAGAGGTCCAATTCAGGGCATTTGTTCAGAAATTTAAGAGACAAGTCATTTAGACTTGTCCAAATTGAAATATAAATGTGAAATATACGCTGGTTTTCATAAACATACTTTAAAAACAAAGAGAGTAAAATGTTTCATGGTTTAAAAAAAAGGTTTTTTTACATGTGTAATGATTATGCTTCGGCCAGATTTAGTTACATATATTATTAAAATAATTTTATGTTTTACTTATTTAATGTGGCTGTTAAGAGATAGGACTACACAGATGTCTTGCAATTGTGACTCTCATTCCCATTGGACAGCACTGGTCTAGATGACCTGTATTACATAACTATTGGAAAAACTTGTTATTACGGTTCATTGCTTATTCTGCTTGTGGCATCTCTTAGCTTTAAATACACAAGCTTTGTTTCATGTTAGGAATACATTATGTTTCTTTAGAAATTATAATTATGCTTAGTGTGGGAAAATAGTATGATGCTCCTATCAGATTTATATACTTTTTTCCTAAGTCCTTACCTTTTAATGCGAACAACACTACCTTTCAGTAAAATAGTAGATTCCGAGGAGTGGAAAGGGA